TCTCCAGCAGCTCTCCCTCCTGATGGGACTGTCTGTTGGTGTGTCTCTTGTTAACTCCTGGTTTACTTAAAATCTGGTGCCATCTGGATCTTGGGGTAACAATAGCCAGAGTCACTGGTCTCGTGTTCCAGAGCCTGAGAAGCAGCTTCTTGACAGAGATACCCAGTCGGGGGTGGCTGGGGTCCGTTACAACCAGCATGTTGGATTTCTAGCATGCGATTACTGCCAACTGTTGTAGTCGCTAGCAAAAATAATTGTGTTCTCCCAGCAGGGACAGCACCCTGCACCCCCCCCCCCACACACACACACACTGGGAGACCGCAATGGCTCCGCGGTAGGGATTCCCTCATTAACAGTGAGTTGATGGGGGAATCAAGCAGTTTTCTTAAAATCGCATAATCTATGGCCTGCCTTACATTGGTGACTAAATCCAGCTAAAACCAGTCGATTGATATTTTTGACTCCATCGAATGATAACATCATGATGCCGGAATGTACGAACTGAAAAGGGAAACAACTGGCCAAGTGGCCAGTTTCGCATGCTGCTGTTGATTCCTACGGCAGTATTTTCACCAGCGACAGGAAATAAATCACTTCATTAGAGGCTCTCTATGGGCTTCTTATAAGCTCTGCCATATTGAACTAATAGCATCTCGTTGTAAGTCGCAGGACTAGGAAAGAGCTGTGTTGTTATTCAGCGCCTGCAGGCTTCATTGGGGACCCCGAGACTCCGGTGCCGTTCAGAAAGCCACAAGCCGGTGTTGGCAAGGGGCCATCTGGAAGGAGTGCTCGTCGGCCAGTGGCGGAAAGACACAGTAGGATTTAGAGGCTCAGGCATCCGCTTGGCTTTAACATGTAGACCAGGTGGTGCGGCTAAGTCCTTTATCCCCCAGGAGAAGCAGACACACATCGCACAGCAGACTTCCAGGAAAAACTGCGGTTAGCCGCCATAAGGAAGAGAGCGTCTCTGGAGAGGAAGATGAAGATATGTTCCTAGATGTGAAATACATACTAATAGCTATCTTATTCCATGCGTTTCTCATAGACGTAAAGGCTGATCTAGCACAGAGGTGACAGGATGTAATTGGCTGTCTCTAAACAGCGCAGGGCACCGGAAAGGAATGGAACTCAACAGCAACACTCACAAATTCTTAAAGGGACTAATTTAAATCTGTATTTTTTGCTAGAAATTTACTTATAACCCCCAAACATGATAGATTTTTTTAACGAAGATCCCAGTGAATGAAATGGCGATCGTTGGCAATGCCACGTAGTATTTGTGTTTTTTTAAATGCAATTTTTGGGGGAAAAATACACTTTAATTAATTTAAAAAAAAAACAATATATACCCCAATTTTTTTGCAAAGTATGAAAGAGGATGTTACGGCGAGTAAATTGATACCTTTAATGTCACACTTTAAAATTGTGCTCGCTTGAGGAATGACGATAAACTAAGGTACTTAAAAATCTCCATTGATGATGCTTTAAAAATGTTTACAGATTACCTGTTTGGAGTTACAGAAGAGATCTGGCATTAGAATTATTGCTCTCGCTCTAAGGTTCGCGGCGATACCTCACATGTGTGCTGCGAACACCGTTTACATATGTGTGTACAATTTACGTATGCACTCACTTCTGCAAGTGAGCGCTTTAAAAAAAGTTTCTTCTTTTCTTTTTTTTATTATTTTTACACTGTCCCTTTATTTTTTTGTAATCACTTTTATTCCTGTTACAATCCCTTGAAAAATAAATATGTGTGACAGGTCCTCTTTAAGAAGAGATCTGGGGTCAAAAAATTTTTGGGAGCTTTTTTGCTTTAAAAAAGAAAAAAAATGTGTTTACGTCCATTGCCAGCCAATTGTGACGGACGTTGCTCCAGTCTTCCATCATGATGACGAGGTAATCAAAGACAATACATTATTTCATCGCCTCCATCTTCAGCCAGATCGTTTCTTGGGTCCGCCGGTCACTGTGTCACTGCAAACCTCTTTACTTTGTGATAATGAGTAAAAATATATAATTAATATCAATAAACTGTTTTGAATTGTCATATAAATATATATTTAAAATCAAATCTTTATTATTTTTTGGTGATAGCATGGTGTGGGCCCTGTGTGATGCCCTGCAGCCTATGACTTAGAATAAAAGGGAGGTGAAGCCTCCATCACTCAATATGTAATATCCCACTCTCATTGTGTTTAGCTGGTTAGTGGGCATGGAGGAGGAGGGAGGGAGTGGGCTGTCATTTACCACTGTATATACACCCACTTGTGTGACTCTATAGACACATGGGCTGCTCACATGTGATAGGGAGGTATATGCTCAGCATAGAAACTCACTGAAAACTGAGCATGAGCACTAGCCGCCAACACTGCTCTGCATTGGGGACATGGACAGGAGGGATGGACAGAGCACAGCAGGATCAACCAGAAAATGAATCCCATAGTGGGAGTATGAACAGCATATAATTAATACAGCATTTATTAATAGTTTTATTGGTGCGGGGTTTAGTGACTCTTTAACAGAAAAACACAACATTCAAAGTATCTACTGTCGCAATTCTGACCATTAAGAAATGTCTGTGACACTTGCCGCCACACCCAGATAGGAATGTAACAGAGTCGAAAATATGGTAGCTTTCTTCAAAGAGGGAATAATTCTTTAATTTCCTATACAGAGCATCTAGAGATTGAGCGCAACCATTTTCCAACTCCAGGCAAAAATGAAATTAAAATGGGGCATTGTGCATCAATTTGATTCTAAACATCTCTTCCTAAGTTATCCAGCAGTATCACTAATCAAAGTCATGATTTATCCAAGCTAATTTCTTTCCCTGGGGACTGGGTATTTTTCCCCACTTGTTTTCCCCACCAGTCCTCTCACAGTCCCCGTGCGTTCTCCTGCCTCTGGAACCTATAACGGCTCAATTACTAAATGAGTTTTGGTTTTTGAAGAGCAATCTGCATTTGGATCACTCTTCACAGAGCTTTTGACAGGTGATAAGGAGGCTTTGTATTGCCTCCGTACCTCCTGCTTTAACCCCTTGATTGCCATATTCATGCTTTGCAGGTTACGAGCGGTAATATTCCTGCCATGACCAAGAAGGAAAACAGCCTTTGCAGCTAATGGGGGTTGCAGTTGGGGGCCATAAAAGTGGGGACCAACTGTAAAGTTTTCTCACCAAGAAGGAAAGCAGCCTTTGCAGCTAAAGGGGGTTGCAGTTGGGAGCCATAAAAGTGGGGATCAATTGTAAAGTTTTTTTCGCCAACCAACTGCTAGTGTAATCGAACCCTAGGAAAGGACAAGGTCGCTTGAAGTGTCTCTTCCACCAATAGAAGGTGTCCACTTCACCCCGGCAGAGATGTTGACACCTCAAGAACCCCCAGAAGTAAGCAGAAAACAAGAGGAGGATCAGGCTGGGGGTGTCACATGACTGTGGCTTCAGATAAGTCAAATTGGTATTTGGATAGGTTTTAGGTAGGTTGGATAGAGGGGGGTGGGAAGAGGGTTTTGCTAATATGCTGGCTTTGTGTTGAAATATTGTTTAAATAGAAAGAAAAAGAAAAGATATTGCAAAAAGACGACATGAACAGTAAAGTCAATGTAATTAAAAAAGAACATTTGCCTGGTCTGTGGTTTTTGCAAGTTGTCATCCCTTTCAGCAGTATAGGCATCAGATTGAAATTAAACCTTTTGTCGCAGACTTGTGAATTTTGGAGAAAAGAGGATGGCACTGTGTGCATCTCCTCATTCTGTGTGGGGTCATCAGACCTCATTATCATCAAACGTTTCATCTTTTGTCTGTATTTTTTGTGGTCTATAATTATATCCAGTGTTTTATGTAATATGTCCATGACATATCAGTAACCCAGATGAGAAGAACACCGTCCTTCGGGAAGTGTACAGCACTGGCCTTTGTCAAACAAACAATAAAACATATACAGAATGTTCGTCTTTTTTTAGAATGTTCAGAATGGACTATTTTGTCGGTCCTGGAAATACAATGTAACACAGTCATAAAGCCCTGTGCTTTCACAAAAAGGGACATTGTTACTTATTCAGCTGTAGTGTTCGGTGTGCGTCCTGTTTGACGTCAGAGATTCACAATGTGGTTCCTGACCCGCTCTCTTCAGCTGATGGGCTATAGATGTTGCAATTGTAAGATATCCCCTTAATCCACATTGCAGCACTGGAGATAGGAAACTGGAGATTCCCTGCAGCCAACATGCTGACTGTGCATGTGGGATCATTATCACTCCCTCGCCGGCTAAAGCAGCTGATGTAACGCTGACAATGAACCAAATAGGGATGACAAAATTGGGTGATGATCTGCATAGGCAATCATGCAATCCCTCCTCAGCTAATGGGCTGGATATTCCTAGGGGTATATATGCTGTAAGTCCTATAACAGTTTATATACATATATATATATATATATATACACTATTTTGCCAAAAGTATTGGTCGGCCTGCCTTTACACGCACATGAACTTTAATGGCATCCCAGTCTTAGTCCGTAGGGTTCAATATTGAGTTGGCCCCGCCCTTTGCAGCTATAACAGCTTCAACTCTTCTGGGAAGGCTGTCCACAAGGTTTAGGAGGGTGTCTATGGGAAGGTTTGACCATTCTTCCAGAAGTGCATTTGTGAGGTCAAGCACTGATGTCGGATGAGAAGGCCTGGCTCACATTTTTGGCTCTAATTCATTCCAAAGGTGATCAGGTTGAGGTCAGGACTCTGCAGGCCAGTCAAGTTTCTCCACCACAAACTCGCTCATCCATGTCTTTATGAACCTTGCTTTGTGCACTGGTGGCAGTCATGTTGGAACAGGAAGGGGCCATCCCCAAACTCTTCCCACAAAGTTGGGAGCATGAAATTGTCCAAAATGTCTCGGTATGCCGACGCCTTAAGAGATCCCTTCACTGGAACTAGGGGGCCAAGCCCAACCACTGAAAAACAACCTCACACCATAATCCCCCCTCCACCAAACTTTACACTTGGCACAATGCAGTCAGGCAAGTACCGTTTTGGCAACCTCCAATCCCAGATATGTCCACACACGCTCCAATGGTGTGAACGAAGCCTAAGACAAAGTGCACTTATTCTTTTTTCTCCCCTCCCCTGACTTAAAGTGTTACTAAACCCACAAACCCTGCATTCACTATATCTGGTCTCCCCAGACCCTGCATTCACTATATCTGGCTTTCCCAGATCCTGCATTGACTATATCTGGTCTCCCAGGACCCTGCATTCACTATATCTGGTCTCCCCGGACCCTGCATTGACTATATCTGGTCTCCCAGGACCCTGCATTCACTATATCTGGCCTCCCCAGACCCTGCATTCACTATATCTGGTCTCCCTAGACCCTGCATTTGCTATATCTTGCCTCTCCAGACCCTACATTCACTATATCTGGTCTCCCAGGACCCTGCATTCACTATATCTGGCCTCCCCAGACCCTGCATTCACTATATCTGGTCTCCCCAGACCCTGCATTCACTATATCTGGCCTCCCCAGACCCTGCATTCACTATATCTGGCCTCCCAGACCCTGCATTCACTATATCTGGCCTCCCCAGACCCTGCATTCACTATATCTGGTCTCCTCGGACCCTGCATTCACTATATCTGGCCTCCCAGACCCTGCATTCACTATATCTGGCCTCCCCAGACCCTGCATTCACTATATCTGGTCACCCTGGACCCTGCATTCACTATATCTGGTCTCCCCGGACCCTGCCTTCACTATATCTGGTCTCCCTAGGCCCTGCATTCACTATATCTGGTCTCCCCGGACCCTGCATTCACTATATCTGGTCTCCCAGGACCCTGCATTCACTATATCTGGTCTCCCCGGACCCTGCATTCACTATATCTGGTCTCCAACAGTACACACAACATGGAAATGCAATTGTTTCAGTAAATATGAACTGCTAAATACCTTTTCTCATCAACAGTATATAACAGTCTTGTGATGTCTATCATTATCCATCTGAGCACAGGTTAATCTTGTAGGAGGAGTTTTCATTCTCCTCTGACTATCCTATGAGGCTGTATAACCTGTGCTGATCACATGCACCCTCCCAAAGAAAAAAAAAAACTCTCTAGCCATACACACTAAACTCAGCATGTGCAGAGTATCTCCTAGAGCTCTGTACTATCAGCAGAGGGATTGGGGACAGTAGAAGAAGGGGAGGATTAGAGACAGGATTGAACAGCCTTTATACACAGTGCAGAGGATTAACCCCTTAGATTCCACAATAAGTATAACAAGCATGATTTACTGCATATACAGACTGATTTTACTGTTGTGGGTTTAGTAACATTTCATTCTTGATGTGACATTTTTACTTACTTGTAATGTTATATTTACATAACATAGCAGAGAGGAAACGTCTATAGATGCAATTATCAGAGCAGAAGAAGGTCTAAAAAGGTCTTGCATATGTTGCTTGATCAGATGAACATACCACTGGGAGTCCCTCCTGGAGACAATTCTAGAGGCAATAAACATAAAAGACAAATGTACGCACTCATATTTTAAACATGCATTCGTTTTTTATATTGTCTGTAGCCCTGATGAAGAAGGAGCATTACCCATGAACCGTGACGGCACTGTTCATGCAACCAGCAAATGCTTTACTGAGCTTCCACCCACACAAGCTTCTCCCAGTCGTATTGCATATACTGACTGCACACCAGATGCCAGATGCAGTCTCCTGGCTGGATGGAAGACACTTTCCAAGCATATCTAGTATCAGATATACTGTATATTTTAATGTTAAAGCTCAACTAATACAATTTCCCTTGCAGTGGGACTGGCCCTGCAGTGCAAGGGTTATTTGCTCATTTTGGTTTCACGTACCCACTGTTGGTGTCAGTGGGAGGAATAGTGCCTCGTAGTTGTCTGCTGGAGGTCTAGTGCCTCATCATTGGGTGTCAGTGGGAGGAATACTACCCCGATGTTGGTGTCGGTGGGAGGAATAGTGCCTTATTGTTGGTGTCTGCTGAAGGTCTAGTGCCCCATCATTGGGTATTAGTGGGAGAAATACTACCCCGATGTTGGTGTCAGGGAGAGGAATAGTGCCTCGTTGTTGGTGTCTGCTGGAGGTCTAGTGCCCCATCATTGGGTGTCAGTGGGAGGAATACTACCCCGATGTTGGTGTCAGTGGGAGGAATAGTGCCTCGTTGTTGGTGTCTGCTGGAGGTCTAGTGCCCCATCATTGGGTGTCAGTGGGAGAAATACTACCCTGATGTTGGTGTCAGAGGGAGGAATAGTGCCTCATTGTTGGTGTCTGCTGGAGGACTAGTGCCTTATCATTGGGTGTCAGTGGGAGGAATACTACCCCGATGTTGGTGTTAGTGGGAGGAATAGTGCCTCATTGTAGGTGTCTGCTGGAGGACTAGTGCCCCGTCATTGGGTGTCAGTGGGAGGACTAGTGCCCCGATGTTGGTGTCAGTGTAGGAATTATTGCCTCAATTTTGGAATTAGTGGGAGGAATAGTGCCCCGAGGGCCAGATAAAGGTGAGTAAAGGGCCACATCCAGCCCCTGGGCCACAGTTTGGAGGCTACTGGACTAGGGCAGTGGTCTCCAAACTGTGACCCAGAGGCCAGATTCAGCCCCTTGCTTGAATATATCTGGCCCTTAGGGCACTATTTCATCCATTAACCACAAAAATGAGGAACAAGTCTTTCCACTGATACTAATGAAGGGACACAATTCCTCCCATTGAAATTAGTGATAGGGCACAATTCCTCCCAGTGAGATCAGAAATTTGGCAAAATTCCTACCAATGACACCAACAATGGGGTACAATGACACCAATGAAGGGGCACAATTCCTTAAAATTGCAGCAACTATAGGGCACAATGAAATGACACCAATGATGGGGCATAATTCCTCCCAATGATACCAACAATGGGGCACAATGACATCAATGAAGGGGCACAATTCCTCTCAATGACAGCAATGACGGGGCATAATAACACCAATGATGGGGCATAAATCATCTCAATGATACCAACAATGGGGCACAATGACACAAATGATGGGGCACAATTCCTCCCATTGACACCAATGATGAACACAATGACACCAATGATAGGACACAGTTCCTCCCAATGACACCAATGATGGGACACAATTTCTTCCATTGACACCAGTGATGGGGACGACATCATCAAGGGTCACCATCTTTTTCTTCTCATGTTGGCTCATGGATGATGCAGTCATGTAAATCCTGGTGCATGTGCAGTTTTTGGCTGTCACCAGAAACGTCTGACACAGATCAGCCCCTGTTACAGTCTATTACCTTGCGACAAAATTACAATGTTGCAGTCTGATCACTGGAGACTAGTGGAAGTCTACACATGTGAGATTTGTTGTGCAATGACATACAAGATGAATCCCACCATTGTCTATGGGGTCCTTTCACACCTATGCAATATACTTCCTCTTTTTTTTTTTTTTGGTGCGCCATTTTTGATCCCATTCTGCATTTTTCCACACCACACCATACATCACACCAGTATTGGACGGTGAAAGAAACAAATATTTTCTAAGTTCCCTAGTGGTGATCGGTGTTTTTGTTGTGCAGATGAGAGAGCATGAAATCGCATGAAAAAAGCATAAAAAATGCACCCCATGACTGCATGAAAACGCATGAAAAAAAGTGCAAGTGTGAACCTAACTTCCTTCTGCCTGCATCATCTCAGCCTAAACCCAATCTTTTGGCTGGAGTGATAGATGGCTTTTTAATGATAGAAGTATTAAAGTAGAACTTTTCTGAAAAAAGATACTGTTGTGGTATACTGCAAATGTCAGGAATTTATTCACGCAGAAGTTACTGTAAGATCCAATTGAAGTCTTTTTAATGAAGCAAAATCATAACCAGTTCCATAGCTCCGTTACAGACTTGCTCCTCCTGTCATCCACAAATAGTCAGGGTGCCAGTTCTTGTAGGTCCAAGGCAAGAGATATGTCACCAGCACACCAGGCAACTCTGTATAACAGTCCAGGGTTTTATTGAATGATCAAATTACAGCAGAATATAGCGACGTTTTGGAGCCTCTCAGGACCCCTTCATCAGGAGTGACATCACATGCCTGATAAAGAGGTCCTGCATGGCCCCGAAACGTCACTATCTTCTGCTGTGATGTGATCATTCAACAAAGCATTGGACCATTATATGGAGTTGCCTGGTGTGTTGGTAACATATCTCTTGGAGCCCCCGGAGCCCGTCTCTGCTTACCTTTGAGGAATAATAAGTGATAAAAGCAGCACTTCAATGTTAGCTACTTTTGTCCAATTTATTCGATCATCCATGAAACATTGCATGCATATAGGTCTCCACCTAATGACTACACCACCCAATGGCCATACTTTCCACCACAGTTGGCTTTCTCATTGGAAATAGGCCCTGTGAGCAAGCCAATGGTGTTGGAACGCATTTGGGAAGTGTGATCATTGGATGGTGTAGTCATTGGGTGGAGACCTATATGCATGCAATATTTTATGGACGATTGACTAAACAGGACAAAAGTAGCTAATATTGGAGTGTGGCCTTTATCATATTTCATTCTTTTTTTTATAAAGTCCTAATAAAATATTTTCACGACTGCATCTCACGTTCTGGTCTGTAGCATTCACAATAGTATCCCATTTGCTGAACAGTCAGTGTGCTCAACTTTGTGACTGAACTATGTTTGAGTATCTATGAAAGTTCTCATTTATCCAGGTCATGGTTTATCTAGTACAGTGGCGGACTGACAACTCATAGGGCCCCCGGGCAATAGGGGATCATTGGGCCCCTGTGTCCTTGCCCAAACTCAAAACAGCCTATTAAAAAGGTACCAGGGGCATCTCATGGGGCCCCCTACTGACCCCGGGCCCTCGGGCAGTGCCTGAGTTTCCAAATGGTCAGTCCGCCCCTTATCTAGTAGTAGTTGGTCACATTCAACTGGACTCGTTCTGTAATATCAAAGAATTTCATAGCTTCTCCAAGCCACTTCTTCAGTTTTAATGAGTGTCAGGAAGATTTGTATCCACACAACGATACCTTAAAGTGGTTCTAAAGGCTCAAAGGTTTTTTACCTTCATGCATTTCTGTGCATGAAGGTAAAAAACCTTCTGTGTGTAGCGCCCCTAGCCTCCCCCCCCCAATCCTTACCTGAGCCCCCTCCGATCCAGCGATGTTCTTGACAGTCTCTGCTTTCTGGGGACTCTTCCTCCTCATTGGCTCCCACTGCTGTTATTCACAGCCAGTGAGCCAATGAGGAGAGAGCGAGGGGCAGGGCTGAGTCACGGATCTATGTGTCTTATGAACGCATGGAGCAGTAGCTTGGGGACGAGCATGCAGAGGTGCCCCCAGGGTGAGCAGCTTTCCCTGGGGGCACTGCTCGAGGAGGAGGAGCCAGGAGCTTTGTCTGCTCCTGTC